CTAATCGTCCAGACATTGTTATTAGCAAACAAAAAATTGCCTCCTTATTGATATGGCATTCCCTGCAGACTGCAATGTATCTTTGAAGATCTTCAAAAAGCTATCAAAATACAAGGACCTTGAAATCGAAATCTCAAAATCTGGCACATGGGAACATCAACAATCCCTATTGTAGTTGGAGCCCTCGGATTGGTTGGAAAAGATTCCGATAGACTCAATGAAGGGATTCCTGGTAGTCTATGCCTTAAAGAAATACAAAAAATTGTTCTCACGAGTACAGCCCATACCTTACGAAGGTCTTTATCTATGTAAAATATGTTTAATTTTTTTTATATTTTTTGTTTTTTGTTCTTTTTTTTTTTTTTTTTTTTTTTTTGAAAATGATGCCATTTCTGACCTTAGATCTCTGGGTGATTGAAGGGATTCCTGGAAGCCCATGCCTCAAGGAGATACAAAAAATTATTCTCACAAGTACAGCCCACACTTTAAGCAGAGCTTTATCTATGTAAAATATTTTTTTTTTTTTTGTCAGTCGAAAGTGTCATGATGCTATTTCTAACCTTAGGTCTCTGGGCGGGACCCGGGAAGAAATGTGTAAACGCCAGAAATCAAAGGAATAAAACACGGCATGACAGAGTGGGCCAATATCTGCACAAGAAAATCTTCGACTTCTACGGAAAGGAAACTGCAAGAAATTGGTATAAACACCACCCAGACCCGGTTACGGAAATAGGACCTGTTATAATTCTATGGGACTACACAATACACACTGACAGAACAATCAAAGCCAATCGCCCTGACATTGTTATTAAAGACCACAAACAAAATAAAGTGCCTCCTTATTAACATGGCAGTCCCTGCAGACTGCAATGTATCTTTGAAGATTATTCAAAAAGCTGTCAAAATACAAGGACCTTGAAATAGAAATCTCAAAATGTGGCATATGGGAACATCAACAATACCTGTTGTAGTTGGAGCCCTAGGATTGGTTGAAAAAGATTCCAGTAGACTAATTGAAGGGATTCCTGGAAGTCCATGCCTCAAGGAGATACAAAAAATTGTTCTCTCATGTACAACCCACACTTTACGAAGGGCTTTATCTATGTAATTTTTTCAGTGGAAAGTGTCATAATGCCATTTCTAACCTTAGGTCTCTTGGCGGGACCCGGAAAGAAATGTGTAAACGCCAGATATCAAAGTAAATTTTTAAAAATAATAATAAGGAAAAAAAATCAGAGGGGATACGAAATATAACAAAATATAATTAGATGTCTGCAAAAAACATTTCATGTTTGTGATTTCAAAAGTTAAACACAACTTCCATATGAAGCAGCATTCTTTTATTGCCACAGGTCTCGGATCTTCGGTATGTTTTGTCTCCAATGTTTCAAATTTTCTCGCGTGATTTTCTTAAAATTGTTATTTTTTTTTTTTTTTGTTTACTCAAAATTTTCTGTTTGTCTAACATTTGGCCCATATAAAATGAACCCACTTCTATGTTTTGAATCGATCGTAAACGGGAACTATGTCTAGCATTTTAATTCTACGAGAATAGGCTGAAAAGTTCATAGGCTGACTAAGAAGGAGTGATGCTAGAACTGTGAAATCTTGCATGCATTCATTTCAACAATTCTCATTAATAACTGCATTGTTTTTGTCCAGGTACGAGGGTGGGCTGAAAAGTTCATAGGCTGACTACGAAAGAGTGATGCTAGAACTGTGAAATCTTGCATGCATTCATTTCAACTCTTCTCAGCCGAGTTCGAATTCCAGTCGAATTCATTACATTCACTTACGTGCTAATACCCTTGGGAAAGGTGAGAATCTTCTTCTTCTCCATCCAGACTGGGTTCTATAACCTTGGATGGCAACTGGTCTAGAAGAAGGAAAACTCTGAATTCAAAACCTGCGGAGGGTCATTTGGGGACCTTGCGGCACGTAGTGCACCAGGTCCCTGTATTCGGCCCTTCAAAAAGTGTGGATGGTCCTGCACGAAACCTTCACCACTATAATCAAATCTCATGTGCTGTTGTCGGGCTGTCGGTTTTCTGGGAACTGATCTGATTGACCCTCATCCGTCGAATTCGACGGGAGAGTCGAGAGAGAGTATGCTGCATCATTAACGAGGTTACAAAGAGACAAAGGGTGGTACTCGAGTGAAAGGAACATCAACACGTGCGTAGATGAAAGAAAGAGAGGTTTATTGTAAAAGTGAATACACTACTGAAAGACAGAGAATCAGTTAGCAGGCTAGGATTTCCCGAAGCCAGTCTCAGGTATGCCCTGCGCACATTATATATATTTACTGATATTGTCAGGCGACAATGGGCGATAGGAAGTTCGGGACATTCCATTACAACAATATATATATATATATATATATATATATATATATATATATATAAAGAAATATAGTCTTAAGATGTGCTATATTTATGGGATAAAGTGCTCAATATCAGAGATAGAGCGTGTGTAAATATAGTGAACATAGAAGTCATAGTTCTGTTTCATGCTAGATGCAATCATGGCCCGACGATTGCATCTAGCATGAAACAGACTAATTGTCGCCTCTTTTAATTGTATGATATATATATATATATTTATATATATATATATATATATATATATAAAAGTGGCCTGACGATTGAATCCAGGTTGAAAAAGACTGTCGCCTCTAAGTGTTGTTTTCTATGCTCACTTTTTATATATATATATATATATATATATATATATATATGTGTGTGTGTGTGTGTGTGTGTGTGTGTGTGTGTGTGTGTGTGTGTGTTGGTAAATAATCCAAGTGAATCCTTATAGTATAAAAAATATTAAAACTGATCAGCAAAAAGAGCTCAATGTATTTATTTTAACAGAGCATATAAATTACACAGAATAGAAATCCAGATATATCTCATAGTCAATCTGCAATTACCGAGTTATCCAGCTAATGATATTGCCATGAATTAACCATTGAATGAGGACGCTGGTTCGATCCTTCGATCCGGTGATGACAATTCCTTTATTGTGAATTCTCGTGTGCAGCGGGCGACGGACATAATACAAACCGTTCAAATTAAAAATAAAAATTCTATCTACTTAAAATACATTAATCTACTATATGAAGAGGAGGCTCGGTGGAGTAATGGATAGCCGCTGAGATTGAGGAATCGGAGAGCCGAGTTCGAATTCCAGTCGAATCCATTATATTCACTTGGGAAAGATATGAATCCTCCTCTTCTCTTTTCAGCTATGGGTCAATACCAGGATAGACTGGGTTCTATAGTCTTGGATCGCAACTAGTCTAGGAGAAAGACAACTCTGAACTCAAAAACCTGCGGAGGGTCATTTGGGGACTTTGTGGCATGTATTGCACCAAATGTCTTTATTCGGCTTTATGTATTGTGGTGAAGGCTTTGTGCAGAACCAACCAACTTTTGAAGGACCGAACACAGGCACTAAAAACAAAAAAACAGCACTTGAACTTTGAAATCTAGAACGCTGCATAGCAGTAAAAAAAAACCCAAAAAACTGACAGTTGAAATATCTTGAATTTACCAAAACATATATAAAAACTCAAAAACAGACTAACCTCTTGAAAATGACACTGGATGAAATTGAAAGTATTTGGGAAAATAAAAGCTATTTGAAAGAAAATGTTGGTATTTTTCTAAATCAATTTTCTAAGGCTGTGAAAAGGCTAATAAATGAATCTGTGAACTTGAAAAGATCACATTCAAAACTAATCCACATTATATGTCTAAATTATTTAACCAAACCTGATTGAATGAAAATATGCTGCCTACACACACACACACACACACATATATATATATAATTATTTATTTAAAAATATAATTCCAACACGCTACATAAGAGTTCTCATGTTTCAAAAGAAGAGCCGAAAACTTCAAGATAATTATTTGAATTAAATTGAATTAAAGTACTAAGCTCTGTTCCATCTTCAAGCGATTTTTTTAAAAAAATGTTTTAACATAAATTCTAAAGTTCACAGCATTAATTCAAAAGAGGGCTCAATACCGTGAATAGTGCAATAATTATTTATTATATTTTTTCATACAGACAAAAATAATTTACTCACTACAAATATACAACTCCGATTCGGTGCACTAAGTTGCACCTCGACTGTGAGAGCCAAAAACAAACATTTTGTGTTCTCGCCAGTCGAGGTGCAACTAATGGCATCGAAACAAGGTTGCATCTTTGTAGTGAGCAAATTGTTTTTGTTTATATGTAAAATTATAATAAATATATATATATATATATATATATATATATTATATATATATATATATATATATATATATATATATATATATATATATATATATATGTGTGCATATATATATATATATGTGTGTGTGTGTGTGTGTGTGTCGTATGCATGTATGTATTTAGTATTTGACCTATGGCAAATTGAAATTAACACTGACTTATTCGGACGACCAATCAGATGATGCGCAACAAACAAACGAATATGATTGGCGGATATTGGAAAGGTAACGCTGTTTACTGATTGCAGGATATTAAAATGGTTACGCTGTTTGGCGATTGGTTGAAAACAGAAAAATTGTTATGGCCCAGAGGAATGGACAGACGGAGGATTTTTAATCGGCGGAAGAAATGTCTAAGTGTCTGATTATGTTCCTGACTTTGCAACGATTAAAACCATCGCACCAGAATGTGTTAATGGAAACGCTTAATGAAATAATTGATTTATATTTTGTCTCAAAAGTTCTCGGCTCAGTCCACTTAAAAAAAATAAAATATCTGATCAATTTATGAAACAACAAATTTTTAATCAATTTTATTTTACTAGAGGACATTTTAGCCAAAAACTTAACATCTTCTCATATGATAGATAGATAGATAATGAACAAAGAGAAAAAAAAGAGAAGAAAAATATTGTCATGGTAACGATGATGGTAGAACAAGGATGAGATATATAGATAAATATAAATAGAATGACATAGATAATGAACAAACTAAAATAGATAGATAGATAGATAAATAGATAGATAGATAGATAGATAGATAGATAGATAGATAGATAGATAGATAGATAGATAGATAATGAACAAAAAGAAAGAAAGAAAGAAAGAAAGAAAGAAAGAAGAAAGAAAACATTCAAGGTAGAGATGATGGTAGATAAATGATGAGATAGGTAGATAGATAGATAATGAACAAAAGAAAGAAAGAAAGAAAGAAAGAAAGAAAGAAAGAAAGAAGACATTCATGATAGAGATAATGGTAGAAAAATGATGAGATACATATGAATAGAATGTGATAGATAGATAGATCGATCGATCGATAGATAGATAGATAGATAGATATGAAAACCTCAAATAGATAGGTAAATAGATAGATAATGAAAAGTTAAAACAGATACATAGATAGATAGGTAGATAGATAGATAGATAGATAGATAGATAATGAACAAGAAAGAAAGAAAGAAAGAAAGAAAGAAAGAAAGAGAGAAGACATTCATGATAGAGAAAATGGTAGAAAAATGATGAGATAGATAGATAGATAGATAGATAGATAGATAATGAACAAAACGAAAGAAAGAAAGAAGACATTCATGGTAGAGATAATGGTAGAAAAATGATGAGATACATATAGATAGATATATTGATAGATAGATAATGAACAGAAAGAAAGAAAGAAAGAAAGAAAGAAAGAAAGAAAGAAAGAAAGAAAGAAAGAAAGAAAGGAATTAATTCATGGTAGAGATGATGGTATAAAAATAATGAAATATAGATAGATAGATAGATAGATAGATAGATAGATAGTTGAAAACCTGAGATAGATAGATAGATAGATAGATAGATAGATAGATAGATAGATAGATAGATAGATCGGAATAATAATTGTTCCTCAAATATTGAGTAAGAATTTTCGAAAGGAGCCGTGTGAAATGTTTATATTGAATGATAGCCTGTCTGTTTGAAAGATTATGATCTGTACTTTGCTGTGAATAAGTTGACACGCTGTTGCTGCCAGAAAACCTGATCTAACTGCTCCAGTCTCACCCCTCACACGAAAGGGCACGAGAAAGCTGGGCTGTCTTTACAAAACAAACCAATACCTTTATAGAGCAAATTAATTTGAAACATTTGAATGAAGCATCGAAAGTCACTTGCTGGTTACAATAGACATTCACATTCTCACACGTAATAAAACTATGGATCAAACTTGTCAGTGATGGTCATACTCGATAAACGAGTTGACAAGCATCAGGTTTGTATGTATGTATCTGAGCGTTTGTGTGTGGGGGTAATTATTCTAACAAGCATAGGTATGCTAATGCAGATAAGATTTGGGCGCTTAATTTCGCTAGAACAATTACGACTGAGTAGTAAGTTCGATCCTCACTGGGTGCCCCCTACATTCGGCCTTGTGCCACATCTAAACTACGCTTGGAAAATCATTGATACAGATAAAATGTATGGTTTTGAAAGAAAGAAAGATAAACGGTACATTAGAAAGAAAGAAAGAAAGAAAGAAAGAAAGAAAGAAAGAAAGAAGGAAAGAACGGAAGACGTAAAGAAAGATATAATGTATATTAGAAAGAAAGAAAGAAAGAAAGAAAGAAATGAATGAAAGAAGGAGAGAAAGATAAAATATATTAGAAAGAAGAAAAAAGAAAGAAAGAAAAAGAAAAGAAAGAAAGAAGGAATGAATGAATGAAGGAGAGAAAGATAAAATGTATTAGAAGAAAAAGAAAAGACGAAAAGAAAAAATTAGGAAAGAGAACAAAAGAAAGCAATAAAGAAAGGATGAAGGAAAGAAAAATAAAGTATATATTAGAGAGAAAGAAAGATAAAATGTACATTTGATAGAAATAAAGTTAAAAGTTCGATATATTACAAAGGAAGGAAGGAAGAAAGAAAGAAAGAAAAGAGTAAGGAAGGAGAAAAGAACGAAATGAGGAAAGAAAGAAAGACGTAAAGAAAGAATGAAGGTAAGAAAGTTAAAATATATATTAGAAAGAAAGAAACAAAGATAAAAGATGCACATATTAGACAGCAAGAAAGAAAGAAAGAAAGAAAGAAAGAAAGAAAGAAAGAAAGAAAGAGAAAAGGTAGATATATTAGCGCGAAAGAAAGAAATAAAAAAGAAAGATAAAATGTAATTTTGATAGAAATAAAATTAAAAGTTAAATATAGTAGAAAGAAAAAAAGAAAGACGGAATGAATGAAAGAAAGAAAGAAAGCAAGAATATGCATTTAATAGAAAGAAAGATAAACGGTACATATATTAGAAAGAAAGAAAACAGGAAAGAAAGTAATATAAAATGCCTATTAGAAAGAAAGAAAGAAAGAAAGAAAGAAAGAAAGAAAAAGAATATGCATTTGATAGAAAGAAAGAATGGTAAACGGTACATATATTAGAAAGCAAGAAAGAAAGAATAAAAAAAGAAAATATAAAATCCCTATTAGAAAGAAAGAAAGAAAGAAAGAAAGAAAGAAAGAAAGAAAGAAAGAAAGAAAAAATGATCGCAGGAAGGAAGGAATGATAAAAGCTGGATATATTAGAATGCAAGGAATAAAGAATGAAGTAAAAAAGAAATATAAAAGGTTTATTAGGAAGGAAGGAAGGAAGGAAGGAAGGAAGGAAGGAAGGAAGGAAAGTTTACAATGTATATTAGAAAAAAAAGAAGCAAACAAAGAAACAAGGTAGACATATTAGAAAGCAAAAAAGAATGAATCAAGGAAAAAAGAAAGCTTAAATGTAAACTAAAAAGAAGGAAAGAAAGAATGTTACAAGTTAGATCTATTACAAAGAAAGAAAGAAAGAAAGAAATAAAGAAAGAAATAAAGAAAGAAAGAAAGAAAGAAGCTTTTAAATACGAAACAAAGAAGTGCCGAATAAATATGGCTGGGCTGGTGAGACAAAAGAACAAATAAAAAAAAAACTACGAAAGACAATTGAGCAAAGAAGGGACGACACATAAAATTCACTCATGAATGTGAACATCTGCTTCTATCGCCTGAAAAGACACACTCAGTGTGTCCCATCGGCTATATTGAACGCCCGCTAAAACGGAATGAGACATAGTAAATAGCTTGACCATAAGCGAACAGAGTTAAACTAAAAAGCAAAAAAGATATATTGAAAAAAATGTCGACGTTTCAAAAAGCAAAACAAAAAATATAAACGGAACGAAAACGAAAGAATATGAGAATACATAGACAGACACGCACATACACACACACACACACACACACACACATACACACACACACACACACACATATATATATATATATATATATATATGTATGAGTGTGTGTGTGTGTGTATTTAGGCAGTATTTTTCATTGATACATGTTTCATTAAATAATATAGACAAGTGTTGTCTATTTATTTTATGTAAATTCTTTTCATATCGTCTGATAAGCTTAATAACATTATCATTAAACGAAGAAAGAAAATCACAATATTGATACATATTTTTTAATCCAATTTAAGCTTTCGGCTTACATAAGCCATTATTGAAGATGACAAGTACAGTACTATATATTAAGCAATACACTGACAACAATGTGATGATAGTCTGTTTCTGTTTACATGGAAGATTTCCAAGCAACGAAAAACTTGTGCATATACGACGCTGAAAGCGAAAATCGCACCGTAGCTCATGACGTCACACATGACCACACGAGAGTGAAAACGAGAAGTATTAAGTATGGGAAGCCGTTGGTATAAACCAATGGCTTCTATTACCAATTATAGGCATTTAAGAATATTTGTGGAGATTTCATAGTTTATTTAATGAAGCATGTATCAATATATATATATATATATATATATATATATATTCATGGAGACCTAACTTACTTGTTGACAACACTAGTATACTAGCATCATCGACATGCAAAAAAATGGCTAAAAATAATGGAAGCCTTATTAATAAAAACAAAGAAACAAACCAATACTTAATAATATTAACTATGAACATGGATACAACATATTGGCCGTGTTTTGAAAAATGAAAACATTTCATAAAACACACATACGACAGAAAAATTCTTATTTTAACAGTTAAAATATAATCCTTGAAAATGGCTAAATGTATAGCCGAAAGCGCTCGGATAAAAATAACATTCGGACAGTTTTTATATAATTCATCATTCGAAAAGAAAAAATTATTAGATCGCATGAGAAATTGTATAAAAAAACTAAATGAAAACACCTTGTCAGTCGTATTCAATGAAATGTACATGAAAGAAGGATTTATTCCTAAATACACACACACACACACGCACACACACACACACACACACACACACACATATATATATATATATATATATATATATATATATATATATATATATATATATATATAATTTAAAAGAAAAACAGACCACTTTAAGTATCCATAGTAATAATTTATTTCACCAGAGAATTTAACTTTTTCTTTGGATCCTCAGGCTTTACTTTGAAAGACGAAACGAAAAAATGAATTTAAAATTTACACTTTTGACGGGCAGTATTAAGCTTATATAAGTTGAATTAGAGAGTGATGAGGAATGGTGTGAGAGACATGCTCGAGTTTAGAGAGGGAAGGGAGAGTTTAAAATTTATCTTTATATTTCTTTTTATTACAATACTTAATATTGAGGAAGGAGGAGGTAAGGATCAGACATTGACCTATTTAATAGGTCAACTTAACGGAAATGATATGGGAAAAGGAAGAAAGAAGAAAAAAGGGAAAAAGAAACAAAAGGGGGATGTAAAGAGATAAGAGATCTACGTAGGTTTTTTTTTTTTTTTGGAGGAAGGAGACGGGTGACATAACTTTAGCAATTTAGATAAAAAGAGATTTTAACGTTTGATATTAATTCAAATGTTTTAAAAAATTTGTAGAGTTTTAAAAACATATTTAAACGTTGAAATTACATTAAATTTAACACTTATATTACACATTAAATTTAACACTAAAATTACATTAAATTTAATACTAATTAGCGATTTAAAAATCAACTTCACCACAAATAAATTAGAGATTTAATATAAGCCGAATATCATATTAAAAAAAAATTCTAATTGTAATATATGAATATTGTGAATGGCTGTTAAGGTAAAATCTTTATCTGTTTGAGCCTAATATATGAATTTAATTTGTAGCTCTTTTTAGATGGGTAATATTTTTTAATTAAAGTTTAGATTTCAATTCAAGATGGAATAAGATAATGGCCGATTACACATGTTTAAAGAGCACACTCATTTTCTCGAGTCATTGGTCGATTTCTTTTCGACATACTGGCTGAGTAAGCACATGTCTTCGTTTCAACACCCACAAACCTCAAGGGATTATATTTCCACTATGCAGAGCCGGCGATTTTTCACAGGGACTGCATTATGTGTTATGATCGGTATCTTGAACAACGCCAGTGAGGATGACTTTTCACCTCGTTCCAGCATGAACACCGACGGCTCCCAAAAGGTTTCGTGTACCCAATTTCGCTCACAAGGCAGAGGTCGACCTGTGGTTTGATTTTCAGACACTGGATGAACTCCTTACACTCAACAGATTCTTTTCCAGCTACGTTTAAATAGAAGCGCATCCTGAGTATGACGATAAACTACACCCGCCGCCTGGGTATGAAGATAAACTACATCCGCGTCCTCTGTATGACGATAAACTACATCCGCGTCCTGGGTATGACGATAAACTACATCCGCGTCCTGGGTATGACGATAAAGTACGTCCAACAACAGGGCTTCAGATAATGTTTACGGAAAAATAATGTTGCCAGCTATACGTTTTTCAAACAATAATGTTGCCAGCTATACTTTTTTTGGAAAAAATAATGTTGGCAGCTATACGTTTTTCAAACAATAATGTTGCCAGCTATACGTTTTTGGAAAAAATAATGTTGCCAGCTATACGTTTTTGGGAAAAAATAATGTTGCCAGCTATACGTTTTTGAAAAAATAATGTTGCCAGTTATGCGTTTTTGAAACAATAATCTTGCCTGCTATAGGTTTAATAGTACTGTATATTTAATATATGTATAGGTATATGTGTATGTATGAATATGTGTGCATATATTTATATATATATATATATATATATATATATATATATATATATATTATATGTGTGTGTATGTATATATATATATATATATATATACCTTAATTTGGCATTAAATGACCCACAGTGGTTGATATGCCATAAAATCCAACCAACCAACCTTAAATAGAAGCAGAAAGTTGTTGATAACCGGTCGAAGAGAAGTAAAACTCTGAATTCAAATGAGCATCGATAGGGTTGGATAAGTGCCAAATGAGTTTCTCGTAAGAGCCAAGTGTCAACATAAAGCTAGGGGATGAAAAATTCATATTAAAAAGCCGACGACATGTAGCACCCAGTTCACCAGTACAGGAGATGGTGATATGATAGAGCGAGAATGCCTTTACAGGTCATGCACAAAAAACCCCTTCAAACAATACATTTGGGCAGGTTGTTCAGTAAAATATCACTGAACCCTCTTATTCGTGAGGTTTTTTTATATATCAGGTGGGTTGAACAAGACATAGATTAACTATTGAAAGAGTGATGCCAGAGCTGTGAAATCTTGCCTATATGTCATTTCAACTTTTATTAATAACTGCATTGTTCCTTTCTAGATATGAAGATGGGCTGAAAAGTTCATTGGCTGACTATGAAGGAGTGATGCCAGAGCAGTGAAATCTTGCCTATATGTCATTTCCTTTTATTAATAACTGCATTGTCTAGATATGAAGATGGGCTGAAAAGTTCATTTTATTAGTGATAACTGTGAAATCTTGTCATTGTTGCATTGTTTCTTTCTAGATATGAAGATGGGCTGAAAAGTTCATTGGCTGACTATGAAGAAGTGATGCCAGAGCTGTGAAATCTTGCCTATATGTAATTTCAACTTTTATTAATGACTGCATTGTTCCTTTCTAGATATGAAGATGGGCTGAAAAGTTCATTGGCTGACTATGAAGTAGTGATGCCAGAGCTGTGAAATCTTGTCTATATGTCATTTCAACTTTTATTAATGACTGCATTGTTCCTTTCTAGATATGAAGATGGGCTGAAAAGTTCATTGGCTGACTATGAAGAAGTGATGCCAGAGCTGTGAAATCTTGCCTATATGTAATTTCAACTTTTATTAATGACTGCATTGTTCCTTTCTAGATATGAAGATGGGCTGAAAAGTTCATTGGCTGACTTGAAGTAGTGATGCCAGAGCTGTGAAATCTTGTCTATATGTCATTTCAACTTTTATTAATGACTGCATTGTTCCTTTCTAGATATGAAGATGGGCTGAAAAGTTCATTGGCTGACTATGAAGAAGTGATGCCAGAGCTGTGAAATCTTGCCTATATGTAATTTCAACTTTATTAATGACTGCATTGTTCCTTTCTAGATATGAAGATGGGCTGAAAAGTTCATTGGCTGACTATGAAGAATGATGCCAGAGCTGTGAAATTTGCCATATGTCATTTCAACTTTTATTAATGACTGCATTGTTCCTTTCTAGATATGAAGATGGGCTGAAAAGTTCATTGGCTGACTATGAAGAAGTGATGCCAGAGCTGTGAAATCTTGCCTATATGTCATTTCAACTTTTATTAATGACTGCATTGTTCCTTTCTAGATATGAAGATGGGCTGAAAAGTTCATTGGCTGACTATGAAGAAGTGATGCCAGAGCTGTGAAATCTTGCCATATGTAATTTCAACTTTTATTAATGACTGCATTGTTCCTTTCTTGTTCATTGGCTGACTATGAAGAAGTGATGCCAGAGAAATCTTGCCTATATGTAATTTCAACTTTTATTAATGACTGCATTGTTCCTTTCTAGATATGAAGATGGGCTGAAAAGTTCATTGGCTGACTATGAAGAAGTGATGCCAGAGCTGTGAAATCTTGCCTATATGTCATTTCAACTTTTATTAATGACTGCATTGTTCCTTTCTAGATATGAAGATGGGCTGAAAAGTTCATTGGCTGACTATGAAGAAGTGATGCCAGAGCTGTGAAATCTTGCCTATATGTAATTTCAACTTTTATTAATGACTGCATTGTTCCTTTCTAGATATGAAGATGGGCTGAAAAGTTCATTGGCTGACTATGAAGTAGTGATGCCAGAGCTGTGAAATCTTGTCTATATGTCATTTCAACTTTTATTAATGACTGCATTGTTCCTTTCTAGATATGAAGATGGGCTGAAAAGTTCATTGGCTGACTATGAAGAAGTGATGCCAGAGCTGTGAAATCTGCCTATATGTAATTTCAACTTTTATTAATAACTGCATTGTTCCTTTCTAGATATGAAGATGGGCTGAAAAGTTCATTGGCTGACTATGAAGTAGTGATGCCAGAGCTGTGAAATCTTGCCTATATGTAATTTCAACTTTTATTAATAACTGCATTGTTCCTTTCTAGATATGAAGATGGGCTGAAAAGTTCATTGGCTGACTATATAGTGATGCCAGAGCTGTGAAATCTTGCCTATATGTAATTTCAACTTTTATTAATAACTGCATTGTTCCTTTCTAGATATGAAGATGGGCTGAAAAGTTCATTGGCTGACTATGAAGTAGTGATGCCAGAGCTGTGAAATCTTGTCTATATGTCATTTCAACTTTTATTAATGACTGCATTGTTCCTTTCTAGATATGAAGATGGGCTGAAAAGTTCATTGGCTGACTATGAAGAAGTGATGCCAGAGCTGTGAAATCTTGCCTATATGTAATTTCAACTTTTATTAATGACTGCATTGTTCCTTTCTAGATATGAAGATGGGCTGAAAAAAGTTCATTGGCTGACTATGAAGTAGTGATGCCAGAGCTGTGAAATCTTGCCTATATATAATTTCAACTTTTATTAATAACTGCATTGTTCCTTTCTAGATATGAAGATGGGCTGAAAAGTTCATTGGCTGACTATGAAGGAGTGATGCCAGAGCAGTGAAATCTTGCCTATATGTCATTTCAACTTTTATTAATAACTGCATTGTTCCTTTCTAGATATGAAGATGGGCTGAAAAGTTCATTGGCTGACTATGAAGAAGTGATGCCAGAGCAGTGAAATCTTGCCTATATTAATTTCAATTCTTATTAATAAATTCGTTGTTACCTTCCAGGTCCGAGGGTGGGTTGAAAAGTTCATAGGCTGACTATGAAGGGGTGAGGTTAGAACTGTGAAATCTTGCATGTATTCATTTCAGCTCTTCTTATTAATTTCTGCATTGTTTCTTTCCAGGTACGAGGGTGGGCTGAAATTTTCATAGGCTGACTATGAAGGATTGATGCTAGAGATGTGAAATCTTGCATGCATTCAATTTAAATCTTATTATTAACTGCATTGTTTCTATTCAGGTGCGAGGGCTGAAAAGTTCATAGGTTGACTATGAAGAGGTGATGCTAGAACTGTGAAATCTTGCATGGATTCATTTCAACTCTTCTTATTAATAACTGCTTTGTTTCTTTTTAGTTGGGAATTTTTGCGTATTTATTCTTTGAATAAACGTCCCAGTGACCGAGAGGTCTGAATTCACAAAATAGCTTTGCATTATCAGCAGATTGTGTGTGTGTGTCTGTACCTTTATATATTGGATCGGATTTCCTACATTTTTCAACCGATTTCAACAAAACTTCACAGGACTACGTAAAATTACCTTGCGTTCGTTCTGACAGCGCCAAAAATTGGAAAAACACAATTGTTTTTGCACGAAATCAATTTGAAAACACGATTAAGAGGCATCGCAAGAATGAAAGTGGGACAACTCATATCGAGTTATACTTATTATAAAACCCTGGTTGTTTGTGTGTGTGTTTGTGTGTGTTCGTTTATATATGGGATCGGATTTCCTACATTTTTCAACCGATTTCAACAAAACTTCACTTTTTTTTTGTCAGGTAGTGTTTCTTATTGTCTTGCACACTTTTTTCTTTATTTTTACATTCAGAATGCTTTAAAAATTCCATTTACAAGACAATTGTTAATAATAAAATTCTATTCAATCGGTAGACTCATAACGATTGAAAATAATGTTTTTGTTTGAGTTTGAGTTTGACCAATTCATAAAAAAAAAAAAAACTAATTAAGACATCCGTGTCCGTCAACCTTAAACAATAATCTTTGTCAATTTTATTTTTCAGTCTTTATGATGGTCGATACTTGATCTATCTCTTACTGTTACATTCCCGGGCAACGCCGGGCTCTACTGCTAGTATATATATATATATACAAATGAGAGGAAAAAGACAGAGAAAAATGAAATGAATATTTACACTTTTGACGGGTAGTATTAATTTTATGTTATTTAACAGAGAAGGTAGCGAGAAGTGGTGTTATTTTAGAAGGAGCTACTTCTCTGTTAAATTCCATAAACTTAATACTAACCGTCAAAAGTGTAAATTTTCATTTCATTTTACCTTTTGTAAGTGATGCCTGAAGATCCAGGGTACTTTAAAAGGTCTCTGGTGAAATAAACTATTACACTGGAGCCTTAAAGTGGTCTGTTTTTCTTTACAATATATATAAAAGCCTTTAAATTCCTTAGGGAGCATGAGAGTGTAAGATGTCATTGCGGTTTCTGTAACAAGCCACTTTTTCTTTCTTTTTTTTTTTAGGTGAGTAGGTTATTAGCCTACTGCACAACACTCAACCTTGAGGATCAGGTTTTTGAATTTAGAGTTGTACTTCTCCTCTGGGGCTGGGGGGAAAGTTTTCCTAAGGGTAATTCGAACTCGGAGCTCCAATTCCTCAATCCGAGCCGCTGTTCCGTATTGCCTTGCCTACTCAGTATTGAGCTGATAAATAATTTCTGTTTAACTCAACTCTCACAGATTTTATTTTAACTCGGCTGTAGCCAGGTATCGAACTCACAACTGTTTAAGTCAAGTCAGTGAATTCAGTCAACACTTTTATCCACTGGGCTATGTGTCCTTGAGAGTGGATATAGAAAGATATAGAAATATTTATCGGACAGGCATAAGGAAAACGACTGAAACCGAGGCTCTGTTACTCTCCATCCACTTCTGTTTTCTCCTCTCAATTTCTTTCACTTTACATTGATTCCTCCTCTCCTTCTCATTCATTGATTGATTTCCTCTCTTTTCTTCCCCTCTTTAATTCTTTCTTTTCTATTTTTACTCAACTCTCACAGATTTTATTTTTACGTAGCTGTAGCCAGGTATTGAACTTACAACTCTTTGAGTCAAGTCAGTGAATTCAGCCAACACTTTTATCCACTGGGCTATGTGTCCTTGAGAGTGGATATAGAAAGATATAGAAATATTTATCGGACAGGCATAAGGAAAACGACTGAAACCGAGGCTCTGTTACTCTCCATCCACTTCCGTTTTCTCCTCTCTCCTTTTAATTTCTTTCACTTTACATTAATTCTCTCTCTCTCTCTCTCTCTCTCTCTCTCTCTCTATCATTCATTGATTTCCTTTCTTCTCTTTTCTTCCCCTCTTTCCTTTCTTTCTTCTTTTTTTTTTCTATTTTTTTTGTGACAAATCTTATTGATTTATCGCATCTCCTTCGTCTTCTCCAGGTGTTTGGAATAATTTTTCTCCCGCGTTGTCCTTTCTTCCTGTGCTTGGCGCTTCCTTTGAGAAGAAAATCGTATAAGATGTGCGGATACTATGGAATAGATAACAGGCAAGTTGTATTTGATTCAAATTTCATTCAATACATTGTGGCATGTTTAATGAGCCAGGCGAGCTTAGCTCTTTTCAACAAATAAATCAATTCTGGTTAGCGTTTCAAACTTACACGTATATCATTACCAGTGTGCATTCTTTCACGAAGGTTTGTTTTTGATCCTGAAACATAGCTAAAAAAAGAAACTTTTTTTTAATAACATTAAAAGCATGAGTCCGTCCATACGATTTCCCTCGTTTGCTATCGATTGATTGTAAAGGTTTATCACTCGCTCCCTCTTTAGGATTAGGTCTCCGACTATTTCTAAAGTCTTCTCATTCACTTTCACCCTTAGTAACCCCTTAATAATGAGATTCACCATGGATCATTAATAGTGATGGGTCACTATTTTTTATTTTTATTTTTTTAATTAATCGGTATCACCCCATGCAAGGTATTAAAGCCACTAAGACACAAGGGGATACAGGATGTGGAATAGTTTGGATCGGAAATATTAATAATGAGCAGGAAGAGGAAAGAGTAATCAGGAGGACAGTAGATAGCGATTGAGATTGCATTTAAATTTTTGCAGATTAAAGTTGGCTGGAAAGCAGGGAGCCGGAAAGAAGATCCACAAGCAAGGCATTAAAGCCACTATGACACAAGGGGTCAGATGGTGTGGAAGAATTAGGAAAGGAAACACTAATAATGAGTGGGAAGAGGAAAGAGTGGTTTTGTGCACAGTAGGTAGCGATTGACTTTGCATAAAAATTTTGGTAGATTATGGTTGACTTAAAAACATGCAGTTGGAAGGGAGTTCCACATGCAAGGTATTAAAGCCACTAAGACACAAGGGGTTACAGGGTGTGGAAGAATTAGGAACAGAAACATTAATAATAAGCGGGAAGAGGAAAGAGTAATCAGGAGGACAGTAGATAGCGATTGACATTGCATTTAAATTTTGGGCTGGAAAGCATGGAGACGGAAGGGAGATCCACAAGCAAGGCATACAAGCCACTAAGACACAAGGGGTCATAGGGTGTGAAAGAATTAGGAACAGAAACATTAATAATGAGTGGGAAGAGGAAAGCGTGGTTTTGTGGACAGTAAGTAGCGATTGACTTTGCATATAAATTTTGGCAGATTAATGTCGGCTGGGATGCATGGTGCTGGAAGGGAGTTCCACAAGCAAGGCAAGTGTTGAAGAATTAGAAAACAGTGTGGCACCATTTAACGAGGCAGAGAAAGAAAAGAAAGAAAAGAAGGCAGAAAGGCGAGATGAATCGTGGGTGATAAGCAGAACACACACACGGCTAAGAGACAATGGATATATTGATAAGTAACAAATGGCGAAAGAGTGTCATTACAATGACAGGGAAATTCTGATAAAAAAGAAAGGGAAAGAAAGAAAGAATCAGATGTGTTTTGATAACGGCTGTGTTATCTAGGGGTACGTAAACAAACTGCTGGTCGACTGGCCAAAGAAAAATTCAAACGAAAATATTATTTCGATAAGTGACGAAAAACAGGCAACTAAAAGGGACTTTGGACAGATATGAAAAATTAAAAGCCACACAAGCCGTGTCCGCTGACCGATTTTTTTTTCTCGACGGAACATCCTTGGCCTGCGAGAATAAAATTATGTTATCAGAAATATGTACCGAAAGGAAATGAATGGGAATTTAGAAATGTCTTTTCGGGGCGACGTTGGCCGTGTTAAGAAGACCACACATTCTGATAATTGGCGATAAAATACCTGACGAAAACCACGTGTAGAACAAGAGTTATGACCGCCATTGTTCATATTGGCCCATTTGTGGCTAGAGAAATGATAACGGCGATTAAGAGGAAGAAAAGGAAAAGAAGGGATAATTTTTTTTTTAGTTAAGCAAGATATTTTTTTTCTTCCTGAAACAAAGCCGCGGATTCGTCCACGCCAGATTAAGACATCATTGGTCGAGTGGTGATCACGTGACACACGAAGGAGGCTGTCGCCGCCTCATCCAGAGTGTAGGTATGAGAAGCTGTTACGAAGAAGTGGGGAGGGCAGTTCACGCCCTCTGAAGTATGGTGAGAAGGTGGGAGTAAGGAAAGGCTCCCAAAAATGGAAAAAAGTGGGAATTCCTAACCAGAGAGGTGGATATGTATTTAGAATTATCGAGGAAACCCCGACGCCGACAGACCCACCCCGGTTTTGGTCGGCGTCCATAAAAGCGAGGCCCCAACGAGCAGAAATCAGTTGAGTTGAGTTTGAGTTGAGTTCCGGCAGTTCCATGAATTCAGTTCCCAGAGTCAGTCTCCAGTTGAAGCCGCCTCGCAGATAGCTGACCAAGATTCACGCAAATTCCGGACTCCTCTTCAACCCAAGAACAATTATTTTGAAGAGCGACTTAGATCCAGACCACCGAAATAAGTTTTTTTTCGACTTTCATCCAAAGACACACCGAAACACCAATTTCTTAGAGAGCAAATAACTTGAAGCGTTAAAACTTGCCTAACGGAAAACGACGTGTCACAATCCATAGAACGGGTCGAGAGATAGATGCAGTCCTATGTATCGAACAACTAAACATAAAGTTTGTTACATTTTTCTTTGATACTTTGAACTTTTGAGTTTTCATTTTATTTTCTTTTATGCATATTTGTGTGGTATCACCCCCGTTGAACTCGGTTTGCATTACGGCCCCAACCACTGATTGATCTCGTCTGCCTAAGATCAAGTCACAACGTGGGTAGGCAGACTGGAGATCTATGCAGTTACCTTGGTAACCAGGCCTTGGAAGCGAGTTGGGAACGACGAGGCTGATATCAAATCTAACCAGATTCCCACCCGAATCACCAAAAGGTTAGACCGTCACATTTGGGTGCCGCGACCAATACCAAGCCAGTTGGTCGTCACAGGACGAGACAACACGACTGACGCGACAGGCGGACGTCACGTTTGGAGCAGCGACACCCGAACGGAGCAGCGAGGAGCGAACAGGTGGCGCCGCGGCGAGGACGTCACAATTGGTGCTGTTTAGGGACGTCACAACAGAAAGATTAATGATGAGCAGAAAGAGAAAAGATTGATGTATATTTCGGCAGCAATCTTTCTTTTAATTATCTTTCCTTAAATATGACAAACAAGGAAAATTTTATTAATTATTTTTTATTTACTTTTTCCAGCGTTCTTATATTTTCCGTTTGGTGGGAGTAAGCTGCATATCATCGAAACTCCCGAGAGTTTAGGGGCCGCTTCTTTAGCCATTTTCAAGGGGTTTGTTTTTGTTGTTAGTTTATTTTGATGTTTTTACTGAGTGAGATGAATTATTTGTGAATTTTAGTATTAGCGTTCATTTCCAGCGATTATGTGTTGGGCAAGGCTCAAATTCGAGTGGGTGACTTTCAAAATTTTTTTAAATAATTTAGCACACCGTTACCATTGTTAAACAAGGTGAGGTTGATGCTGGGGGACAGCTGTGTAATGTACGTACCCTCTCTTATAATAGGATGTTTTCGGAAATTGGATTTACAAAGGACCGTAGTGTTTTCGACGAGAATCTTTCTTAAGGGTTCTAGTAGATTATGTGATTTTTATATGGAGATTTGCTCTAATAAGTGACATGTGAGCCGTCGACTCAAGGAGGTGGTAGTGCTAGTATATAATTGATATAAAAAAATTGATTTATGACAAAAAAACACTTATATATATATATATATATATTTACTGGTCAATGAAATTCAGACACTATATTGTCTATATATATATATATATATATATATATATATATATATATATATATATATATATATATATATATATATATATATATATATATTATATATATATATATATATATATATATATATACATATTATTATACTATATATATATATGTACACACTATATTATATAATATACTATATTATATATATAATATCGCCTGTTTAGATGCGATTATTTTTATTATTAACTACAAATTTTGTAGTTCTCTATTCTCTGTAATATATTATAATTTGCCCATTTCATAATATGTGACGTCATTTGTTTACATTTCGATACGCATCGAGCAGATATGAATGTAGGAGATAAGATCATGGAGAATTGTAGATTAAAAACAGTAAAATCGACCTTGCTAGCCGAAACGCTCCTTTGTGGCTCAATCGGTAAAAGCACGTCAGGCTATATGACGGTTCCGTATAGGATACAGGTTCGATTCTTGTCGGAGGACACATATTTTCTATGAAAATTTCTCGGACATTCAGGCCGGTAAATGTTGTTTAATACTGTTTATTATAAACAGAGCATTTACTTAAATATTTGTATCTATAAAAAAGAATGTATAAACATAAAAATGTCTCAAAATAATTGTCGGACTTTGTCCATTTCATAATGTGTGATGTCTTTTGTTTACATTTGATATGCCATGAGCAGATATGAATGTACGTGAGAGATTCATAGAAGATTGAAGTTTAAAAACAGTAAAATAGACCTTGCTAATCGAAACGCTCCTCTGTGGCTCAATTGGTAAAAGCACGTCAGGCGATATGACGGTTCTATATAGGATACAGGTTCGAATCCTGTCGGAGGACGAATATTTTCTATGAAAATTTCTCGGACATTCAGGCGGGTAAATGTTATTTATACTGTTTATTATAAACAGCATTTTACAGAGCATATTTAAAATAATTGTCGGACTTTGTCCATTTCATAATGTGTGATTTCCATTTCTATTTTATGTTTATTAGTATCTTCTATTTCTATCCAATAAACAGATTCGGAATTAACCTTAGTGCGTAAACTACTCCCGATTAGTTTGTAACACGTTTATTTATAATCTCTCAGTCGCGTCTCTGTCTTTGTGCAGAGTGTTCTCAGGGGCG